GCACAGTGGGATACAGCGCTGTAGCTGTGACTACGCCCAGGTGACCTCCCGTGCGCTGGCTACGCACTCCGCAGGAGTGTGACCATGAGGTGACAGCCTGTGTGCGATCCTGCAGCACCCAGGCGGCTCTTCCCGTGGGCACCCACTCTGCTGTCCGCCCTGCCCCGCGCCACGCTGCCTGCCGTGCTGCCGCTGTCTCCCACACGTGCATTCTTTAACCTCGGGACCCCTGAGTGGGCTGACACTAGGGCTTTTTTTCCCCCCCTTTTTTTAAAGCAAATTTATGTGGAAGAAGCATTGTTGTAATCAATGACCTTTTCCTTTTTTGGTCACTTTCTTTTTTCTACTTCACGTACATTTGTATTGAAAACTAGTAATGTAAAGTAATCACTTTTGTGTTATCTCCTAGTGACATAAAAACCACAGATTCTTTTTTTTCCCTTAGTGGCTGACAGAAGAAATGAGATGTGGTCTGAGGGCCGATACGACTATGACAGAGTTCCCCGAGAGCGAGCGCCTCCTCGGAGTCATCCCGCTGTAAGTTCCTCCTGCACGCAGAATCATGCAGAGCCCGTGGGGACGTCCTCAGGGGAGAGCACAGCTCGGCCTGGGAACATCTTCAAGCACTAGACATTCATTCATACTTGAGGTGGAAAAATAGGCCAAGCTCATCTCTTAAAAGTTAGAAAATAAAAGACATTTTATTGGTGTAGAAAATCTGCACATCATTTAAACTTACAGAAGGAAGGGTTTATGTTGAATTTAACTTGTGAAGAAAGTTTTAGTTTAGTAAAGGCCAGACTGGCCACGAGTAGGTATTGGAGCACGCGTTGTTTCTGTCACGTACTAACGTTTACAGATTGGGTAAGTGAAACGACGAGAGTAGGCGTGCATTCAGAGGAGGGTGACTGGCTTCCTGGCGCAGAAAGGTGTTCCTGTCACAAGGGAGGGCTCCTGCAGGCCTTCCCTTGCTCGGGCGGCCCGGCTAGGGACGAGGCCTGGGGGCTGAGGCAGGCCGCCTGCCGTCTGGGCGCCTGCTGGCTCAGTGGCCCTGGAGATGGGAATTTGCAGCTAGGCCTTCGTGCAGGGAGCTTGCTGCTTTGCTCAGTGTTCCCAGTGCTCTGTCTGGGATTCAGCAGGAGCCCTGCATTTATTAAATGAGTGCAGTAGGAACACTCACGTGCACACACACACACGCATTCTAGTGTCCTCTGTGGAGGTTGTTCGGGGAAGGGTCAGCACAGCCTCTACCCTGGTGATCACAGCACTGGAAAGACCGAGGCGGGAGGATGGAGAGGGGAGGCCAACGTGGCCCAAGAAACAAGGCCCTGTTGCAACAAAAGCCGCAGTAGCCATTGATGCCTTCTAAGCACGAGGCCATTTGGGTTATAGTGATGCTGTGTGGAACTATCAAGAGCCGGTTTTGCAGCATCAGAGGATGTAAATGCTTGCTTCCGCAGAAGGGAGTGTTTTCCATGCACAGGATACTCCTGGTGCACACAGCTTGCTCACGTGCACAGTGTGTTTTTCAGGGTCATCACCGCCTTAGATTATAGCTTACATTGGGTTGATCCAAGGCCATTGCAGATGGAAAAATAGGTTTATATTTCAGGATGGGCAGGGTTACTTATTACTGCATGTCACTTTTTTCTAGTTGACATATAGATGTCATGCTTATGGTCAGAAACTCAAATGTTTTGATGTTTTTGACTTGATAAACTTAATTTTCCCAGAGCGGGGTAAATGTGATGTGGAAGTAAATCAAGGGTGTAAAGAAATTACACTTTTTAAACTTTTTTTTTTTTTTTTTTTTTTAAGTACAGGGCCTACAGGTCTACAGGTCTCACTACACGGATTGAACTTATAGTAATCCTCCCGTTTTCAGCTTCCCAAGTGCTGGAGTTACAGGCTTATGCCAGCATGCCCGGTCTTAACTGTTGTCTCAGCGTGTCCTGGGTCGGAGCCAGACCGGCACGCTGGGGGCCTAGCCTTGGCCCCTGCACTCTGCCTAAGTGGGCGCTTTAGTCCGCTGAACTGTGTGGCCAGCCCTATACTTTAAGTAGTGCATTTCAAAGCTACATGAAGAATTTTCTACTTGCTTACCTCATCATGTGGCACCCACGTGTCCGCCGTGAACTGAGTGACCTGAGTGAGCTGGTGTGGGAAGGGAAGGCGGGTGACTGTGTTTAACATGAGGACCTGGACTTAGCTGGACTCGGAGTCACTGAGACCATGTGCCCTGTGAGGCAGGCTCAGGGAGGACAGGGTTGCGGAGAAAGTGAGTGAGGCTGGGCTGGTACCTGCCTATGACCTTGGGGATACCTCAGGGTGAGGCCAGCCTCGTGACTCACGAGGGTGGCCTCAGAGTTTGAAGGGACTGGGCTTGTTCAGTAACAGGCTAAACGAGGCTTCAGTCTGTTGGTACCGGCACACACACATACAGGGTGGGTGGGGGTGGGGATAAGGTGGGAGAGGGGCTGAGGGGCCAGGAGGCTTAGGGAGTGATGAAGATAGGCAGTTGCCGTTTCAAGAGCATGGGGTTTACAGGACAGAAAAGTCCTGCTTGAGGAGATGCTTGTGTGGTGGTGGTGGTGGGGGGGTGAGCAATACTGAAATGAACAGGAAGAAAATTTAAGGATGAATTTCCACTTAATGATTGCATGCGAGACCCTCAATGTTAGCTATTCATTAATACTGCCCAGGCACTTCTTTTCTGTTTTCTACTTTTTTGGTGCTGAGGATTGAACTCAGGGCCTAAGTGTGTTCAGTCAGTGCTCAGCCCTGAGCCCCCCTCAGCAGCCCCTTGGGAGTGCTTTCCCACACATGTGAGCCCCAGTCCTCATGTGCATGGGTGACATAGGGATAGGACCGATGCTTAGGCGTTCTCCAGCAGCCTCTGGGAGCTAGTCTGTACCGTGGGGACCTCTGGGACAAGTGGAGAGCCAGACAGAGGGAGTCATCACAGAGAGAGAGCAGGTGGGCCTTTGATTGCTGCAGATGTTAAACTAGCAGTGTTGTTTGAGACCACTTATAATAGCTTGCTGTAACATCATCTGAAGGTAGTCTTTTTTTATTTGCGGTACCGGGGATTGAACTCAGGACCCTGTGCTTGCCAGGCAAGCGCTTATTCTACTGAGCTATCTCCCCGGCCCAAAGGTAGTGCAATTTTTGTTCACAACTCAGTCTTATATTTGGCTGTTGTGGTCTTTGGTATCTCTATTTAAAAATAATTTTACATTCACATTTGATTTAAAGAGAGTCATTGAATCCTTGGGTTAAAGTATTTCACATTATAAAAAATGTAGAGTTATAATTTTTGACCTGAGATTTAATAAAAATATGTGTTATTCAGAATTTAAAAACCTTTGTTTGTAGAGTGGGGCATGGTGGTGCCTGCCTGTCATCCCAGCATTTGGGTGTCTGAGGCAGAAGGATTCCTCCCACTTGTTCAGAGTCAGCCTGAGGTATTGAGTGCCATGCCAGCCTGAACTATCTAGGAGGCTGTGTGAAACAGAAGCAAAACCCTGGAAATGGAAACCCTGTGCTTACAAAGTGGAGATTATCAATTTTATTTAAAAACCGTATTGTGTCAATAACAGCAGCATTATTTGTGAGAGCTTTAAACTGGAAGCAGCCTGAATGCGCAATAGCAAGGTAGATGAATTATTCCAGTACGCAGGAAGGACAGTACGTGTGCTGCCGAGCAGTGTCACAGTGCAGGTGCGTGTCTCAGCCAGGAGCCCGAAACAGCTCTGGCACAACAGCACATCCTGTGTGTCTGCTGATACGGAAAGCTCTAGGACGCAGGACACCGCCTTGCCTCCCAGGGGCCTGGTGCACGAAGCTGGTGGCGGTTGCCCTGGCTCTGTTCCTGCTGCTAGGGCTCTGCGTGGTAAGAGCCGCTGGCAAGGGCCCCCACCACTGCTCAGTGGGCCGTGCCGCAGGGCTGCTGTCAGGCATCAGGGGACTCCATCTGCGCAGCGCTCCCAGCCTATGGTTGGTTTGGGATTTCCTCGCTCATACTGAGCCTCCCATCCCGGGAAGCTGACCCAGGAGCGTGCGTGGGTGGCCCTCCACGGCCACATGCATCCAGGACATCGTCGCCCCACACCTGCAAAACTTGGAGCAGCTCCATGATGACTGCGGTAACCTCCAGTTCAACGCCAACATCCTCCTGTCACTGTGCCCCAAAGGCTGCCTCTGCGCCAGAACCTCGGACCCCAAGTCCAGATCCACCTGGCCCCGGGGGTTGCCCTGACACCCATTGGCCCACTCTGGGACTCGCAGGCCTTGCCACGGGGATGGCGCCTTGCATCCTGCTCGGGCACCAACCTCTCAGTAAATGATTAAGTGGATAAAGGAGAAGCAGAGAGAAAAGACACAGAAGTTGCTAGGAAAGGGGTTGTTTGTGGGAATTATCGGAGAAAGTACAAGGATTTTGTGCTCTTCAGAGTCTTCAATTTTGTGATGAGAATAATTGTATAGTGTGCTTATCTTGTTGAAATTTGTCAGAATATATATGATTTACATATTCTATAAAAATGTCATTTCAGCAGCACAGCATTTTTTCTTCTAAATGTAAAACTTCATCTGATCCTTTAAAACATGGACAACTATCACATTATTTCCAGGGGTGGGGGAGTATGACAGTCTATTTCATTTTGTATATGTAAGTCCCGTTCTCCAACTAAAGTAATTTTACTGAATATTTAAAAATAATGTACTTTTTGCCTTAATTCTTTTGAATATGTATTTGATGACATTTTAGATGTGGATGGCATGAACTTTGGAATGAAGGGGGCTGTTGAGAAGGTCCTCTTATGCCAGTATAACTTCATTCATAAAAGCAGCTGTGAGCTCCTGGTTTCAGAAAGGTGTGGGCGAAGTGGACACTCATTTGAATGCATTTGCATTTTGGCAATCTCATTCTGAGTGTGTTGGACAGAGTCTGCTGGTAAGTGTATACATTACAGGATGGAAATGAGGCCTCACAGAGTGGCTGCAGGTAACCTGTAGAACCTGTGTGGCCCTTACTTGTGCGTGCAGTGCACTGCTGGTTCTTAATCCATTCTGCCACTCTTTTTTTTTTTTTTTTAAGAACTGGGGATTGAACTCAGGCCCTTGCACTTTCCCGGAAAGTGCTTATTCCACTGAGCCATCTCCCCAGCCCCCTTACTCTTTCTTTTCTCCTTCCTTCCTTCCTTCCTTCCTTCCTTCCTTCCTTCCTTCCTTCCTTCAGCTGTGGCTGGCCCTCAGCTTTGCTGCTGATGGACTTTCCTTAACAGGTGGTTTGTATTTTTCTCTCTAAAAGCCTCCATCCATTCAGGGTCTCACTATACAGATGGGACTTGTAGTGATTCTCCTGTTCGCAGCCTCCAAGCGCTGGGGTTACAGGCGTGTGCCACCACGCAGTCTCAGTTGCTGTCTCATGGTGCCCTGGGGGTGGGGCTGGCAGGGCTTGCTGGGTATCGAGCTCCTGGCGCTTCAGTCAGCTGAGCTCTCAGGCTGGCCCTTCTGCCTCTCTTTCTTTTGTTTGC